TGTCTATATACATATCTAGTTTGACCAACCATAATGCTAAGCATAACTAAAAGTTTAGAACTGCTTTAGAAAGTTCTGTGGTTTGAATATGCAGGGAATGGCACTATTAGGAGTTGTGGCCTCATTGGAGTAAGTGTGGCCTTGTCAGAGGAGATGTGCCACTGGGAGGGTGGGTTTCGAGTTCCTCCTCCTAGCTGCCTGGGAAACAGACAATCTTCTCCCAATTGCCTTCAGAACAAGATATAGAGCTCTCAGCTTCTCCAGAGCCATGCCTGTCTGGAGGCTGCCATGCTTCCAGTCTGGTTGATAAGGGACTGAACCTCTAAACCTGTAAGCAATTCCCAATTAAATGTCCTTTATAAAAGTTCCCTTGGTCATGGTGTCTCTTCACAGCAATGGAAACCCTAACTAAAACAGAAAGATATCACTAACTTTTCCTTTACAGCATGGTATATGTCAGAAGGATTCTCTCAAGGCTTCAGCCTCCTTGAAGACAAGCACAGGTATCTCCAAGAGCATGGGGAAATGAGAGTCTTTTGTTACTTCTATCTATCTTAGCTTCTGTGAAATTACATGTTATATCCTTATAGCTAATAGTGTATTGTACAATTTATAGACACTAGAATATACAGTGTGGGAGAGTGCTGAGAACTCTCATTGCTCAGAGGTGGTGGGACTGAGGATACAGAGCTCCAAGTCCCAGCAGAGGAAGGTGGCATGGTGAGCCAGCACATTTCAGGCAGTATATTTCAGTCTCGTGATACGTATCTGGCTGACTCACGTCAATCTTCATCTCTCTGCTTTCCCTTTTCAGTGACTACTAGCAATGGTTGTATCCAACATACACTGAGTACTTGCCTGTGCCTGGAACTATGCTATATATATCTACAAATTGTCTCATTTGAAATTCAGAACAGGCCCATGGGGTAGGTTCTTGTTTTAGTTAGGGTTTTACTGGTGTGAACAGACACCATGACCAAGGCAACTCTTATAAGGGCAACATTTAATTGGGGCTGGCTTACAGTTTCAGAGGTTTAGTCCATTGTCATCAAGGTGGGAACATTGCAGCATCCAGGCAGGCATGGTACAGGCAGAGCTGAGAGTTCTACATCTTCATCTGAAGGCTGATAACAGAATACTGGCTTCCAGCAGCTAGGGTCTTAAAGCCCACATCCTCAGTGACACACCTGCTCTAGCAGGGCCACATCTTCTAATAGTGCCACTCCTTTGGCCAAGCATATACAAACCATCATTTCTATTATCTTTGGTTTATAACTAAGAACACTAAAAAGCTCACCCATGCTCCTAAAGTAGTTACAAGTGCTGGATTCCAGATCCTAATCAGTGTACATGTTCCTTAAATAAACAGAGAATCATTGAAGAAGATCATTTAAAGAGAAGCTCAGTCATTTACTAGAATAGATGTACCATAGTACTATCCCTACTTAGTGACAACTGACATGCTGTTTTTATGAAGGCCACACTCTAACAAGGCACCCTGCTAGACACAGATAGAACATGATCCCTCAGAACTAGCACATTTCTCTTGGGTGGTGTATGACCCCCAGCATCAGAGAGAAACTGCTTTCATAAACAGTGTAATTCTTCACCACCATTCTTCCTGCTGCCACTCCCATCATAAGAAGGGACCCAAAGTCATCAGGCAGCGAGTATATCAGTGTTTAAACTGAATATCAGATGACAAGTACAGCAACCCAGTGCTCCTTGACTGCCCATGGCAGGACATCACCCAACCATTTACTTGACACCAGCAACTGAAAAAATTTAGAGAAGACTAAGCCACCTTCCAAGGCAGACAGCGGAACAAACATCAGGACAGCAGAGAATGTGACTTCCTACTCCTTTTCTGGTGGCTCAGGAACAGGTCCTGTGACACTGTGGGCCATGCTCTTGCATGCTTCTTTTATGACCCAGGACTTGCCCTTGTTGATCCTGGTCTTCAGAACACACCAAACATGGGTGTGTTCTCTCCAGCTCAAAATCTGTACCTTTCACATTGTTACCTAGTGGCCTGTTGGTAAATGCACCCTTCTCAACTCCATCTAAGTATCTGAGCTCAGAGAATCCAGAGAGCTTGTGTGGATGAAGCGACATAGCCAGGGTCATCAAGTAACATAATTAGCAATGAAACTAAAGCCTAGTACATACAGTACATCTTGGTACACCTTTAGTAAAGATACATACAGCATCTGTGGCGGGACGCACAAAGCTCAGAATCTATGGGGGACATCTTAGAAGGTCCATAGTCTACTTGAAGAACTTAGCTTAGACTTGGTCTGCTTTCCTTCCCTCTCCTTTGTGGGAAATGTGATCTGGTTAGGGATGAAGCAGAAGTTGCTGTCTCAAGAACTCAAGTTTGAGTTGATTTATTTCCTATGCACAAGACAGGAACAGGCCAAGAGAATCAACTAGGGACACCTCAGCCAACTAAAAAGGGTAGACATAGGGAGGCATCTGGTTTCCATTGGGTCACAGCAACAATAGCTTCTGTGAACACAAGTCACCAGAGCAGAAAGAATGGTTGGAATGATTGATGATGGTAACAGTGACAAGGAAAATGATAACAGTAAAAACATCTTGTGTTTATGGAAACTTTTTCCTTATGTCAAAAACTGTGACCACTGTTTTACTTGTATTAGCTCATTTAGCCTAACCTAAGGTTATAGATAGAACATTTATATATTTGTACAAATAGAGACAAAGTAAATAACTAGGTTATCCTCATTCATACTGCTCAAAGAGAGTAGAGCCAAAACTTGATGCCTGGTAGCTGATTTTAAGGACCGTCTTTTAAATTAGCAGGGATGTCTCTGGTTAATTTTCTTGTTGCTGTCTTAATCAGCTGAATAGAGCAACTTAAAGAAGGAAGGGTCTATTTGGCTCACAATTTGATTGTACAAGCTCTGTCATGGCAAGTGTGTGGCCTGGTGTGGAGTAACTGGTTACACTAGATCCACAGTTAGGAAGCAAAGAGAGATGAATCCTGGTGCTCAGCTTGCTTCCTCTTTTTACACAGTCTGGAACCACTAGCCCACAGAATGGTACTACTAGCCTTTGGGTAGATCTTCCATCTTCTATTAACCCAGTCTAGAAACTCTCAGACATACCTGAGCCGCAAGCTTTCCTTTCTGTCCTTCTACATTGGACAGTCCTAGAACCAACAAGGCCCTTACATCAAGGCTTAGAGACAACCAGAGCCTGGGCTGAGATGTGTCAGCCCCACTGGCAGATCCAGCCACATTGCCAGCTTCTCACTGCATGCCCACTGTCTTCTCAGCTGAAAGACCTGGTAGGTAGCTGTCAGGAGCATTTTGAGGAAATGCAAACTCTACTCTTCAGCAACAGAGATGCCATGTGAATGGGATGTTGCCTGGGCATATAGTCTGAAGCCAAGTCCCAGATGAACAGGCTTTAGTGCTTTCTTCACAAGAAGAGACCTAACACTGTACATACATAATAACTAGCTCCAAGAATTGTATTTGCTAAACCCCTTCCCCTGTGGGATTCTACTTCATTTATGTTTAGCCCCAGAGTAACAAAAAGGTGGCAGCAGGGGACATGGTTGGAATGAGATCTTGGTCCAGGCATCTCTGAACACTCTAAACAGGATCAGCAATGAGGTCTACGGAGGTCGTCTCGGTGGGAGAGTAAAACCCAGATTATACTCCTGTCTCCTGTCAAATAAAGTAACCATAACACAACTCCAGTGACAACTCTTCCCCTCTCTGAGCTTCAGTTTACACACACACACACACACACACACACACACACACACACACACACTATTGACTAATAGTTCTCTGACCCTCTGACAATTTTAAGGGGAAAAGTTTTTTGGTCCACTTGACACAAGCTAAGATCATCTGAGAGGAGGAAACCTTGACTGAGAAAATGCCTCCGTGGAACTGGCATATAGGCAAATCTGGGGCACACTGTCTACACTAATCACTCATGTATAAAAGCCTGGCCCGCATGGACAATGCTGCCCTTGGGCAGGCAGTCCTGGTAGTATAAGAAAACAAGCTGAGAGACCCAGGAATGGCCTTTTAAACAGTATTCCTCCATGATCTCTCCCTAAGTTCCTGCTTCCAGGTTTCTGGTCTGCCTTAATTCGTGTCCTGGCTTCCCTCAGGGATGGACTGTGTTAGGGATGGATAAACCCAAGTGGACTTTGGTCATGATCTTCATCACAGCCACAGACATCAAAGTAAGACATCTAGGAAGGGGAAATCTCAGTTGAGGAAATGTTTCTTTCAGACTGGCCTACAGGCAAGGCTGAGGCATCTTCTTGATTAACTATTGATGCAGAGAGAGCTCGGCCCACTGTGGGTAAGTGCTACCACTGGGCAAGTGTACCTCCTTGTACAGAAAGCTGGTTGAGCAAGCCATGGGGAGTGAGCCACTAAGCAGCATTCCTCCATGGCCTTTGCTTCAGTTCCTGCCTCCAGGGTCCTGGCCAACTTCCTGCTGTGACTTCCTTCATAACTGACTGTAAACTATAAACTGAAAAAAAAATCCTTTCCCAAATGACTCTCATCATGTTTATCACAGGGTCTAAAACTAAGACATGGGGTCTTTGGCCACACAGCGGAATTACTCTAATGAGAATATTAACGCCTACCCTTTGTGCACTGGCTATTTTACTGTGTTCCTCACTGCTCCCTGAATTGAGCCTCCGAACAAAGCTGCAAGATCAATTAGAGAACACATAAAATGAGCGACTTAATTTATGTTTCTCAGAGGGATATAAAACATTTGGCTCACAGGCTTTTAAGACGGGTCAGAGAACATAAAACTATATTTAATAAGTACAATGTACTAAAAATATCCTTCAGTGAGACAGACTGATGCGATTAAAGGGCACCAGCTTCAGGAGAAATGGGGACACCAGATGCTGGACCCTCTCAGCCCCTGCCTCAACCATGCAGGCTTAGCCAAGCAACTGTCCTGTCATCTGTACAATGGTAGCCCCCAGTTACCCCAGCTCTGGTTTTCCAGAAACATCTCAGGTAGAATGAGTCTTCTCAAAGCTGTAAGGAGCTTTTCCCATAAATTTGGATGAGGTTTTGTTTGCCTTCTGTTTTGCTGGCTTCTTATCTGCCGCCGGTGGGGCTGAAGAAAAAAATAAAATAAAACACGTGCTAACAGTAAGCCAGGAAGCAAATCTCATCAACCAGGCCCAGGGATCCTGTCTCAGGAAGGTGGGTAACATTTTTATCAAGAGATGGGGAGGTTAATGCTGAGGAAAACTGGTTGGGTTGTCTGAGCGCTTGGTGCTTTGTGTTTAGGAAGGTGTGTAACTTCAACATCCTGCCTACTTTTCCCAATCGATGGCCAATTTCATCTCCCCAGGCAGAGACAGATTCCACAGATAATTTGAGATCTGAATGGTACACCCCCAACATATATACCATTTATTTGTCTACTGGCTAGACCTGTGAGTAAAAAATAAGAGCCACAGCTATATGGTTTTGTTAGGTTGGGCATGCCAGAGTCCAAGATTCATATCTCAGATGCAGGTTAACGACGAATGAGCCTACATGTTGACACTTACCTGCTTTACCGAGAGTTCCAGAGGGAAGTTTCAATTTAATTTTATATTTATCCATTTACTTATTTTGGTTTTAGAGACAGGGTCTCTCTATAGCTCTGGCTATCCTGGAATTTTCTCTGTAGACCAGGCTGGCCTGCTGCTCAGAGAGATCTGCTTGCTTCTGCCTCCAGGGTTCTGGGATTAAATGAGTGTGTGCCACCACCACTAGGCTACAATGAAATTTTTTAAAGAGGGGTGGATGCTAAGAAGAAAGACCAGAGGAAGTAAAGAGATAGAAAGGAAGATAAGGAAAGACTGTGAGGAAAGAGTATTGACCGAGGAACATGCACGTTATCAAAATGAATCACAAGTTTAGACAATGCTAACTGCTTTATACACACTCTTGGAAATTGATAGTCTGTCAGAATATTAAAAAAATAACCCTTGTATAAGTTTAATGGTTAAAAACACCTTTATCCAAATTCTAGACAGACTGCTTTTTAACATGTGTGTATGATGTGTGCGTATAATGTCTGTGTGTGTGTGTCTGTGTGTGTGTGTGTGTGTGTGTGTCTGTGTGTGTGTGTGTCTGTGTGTGTGTGTGAGTACAGGAGTGTGTGCACCTACCATGCACACATGTAGAGGTCACATTTCAGTTTGTACCTGCCGCCTCAGGCTGGCTGGCCCACAGACATCCAGAGAGTCTCCCATCTTTGCTTCCCAGCTTCAAATGGTTGTGCTGGTATTTAGAGAAATGGCTCAGTGGTTAAGGGCACTCGCTCTTGCAGGGGACCTGGGTTGGGTTCCCAATACCTACACAGTGGCTCACAAACATTCACATAACTCCAGTGCCAGGGTATCTGACTCCATGCACTGGCGTGGACATGCACAAGGTGCATAGACACACATACAGGCAAAAACAAACAAACAAACCCTATACGTAAAATCTATTGCTGTTGTTATTCATTATTACTGTTGTTGTTATTTTAAGTATGAAGATCTTCACTGCTGCATCTTGTCTGTACAGTTGCAGAGCGAGCACTTTATCCACTGAGCCATCTCTCCAGCCCCTGGACACATTTTTAATCACAAAATCAAATTTTCTTTTACTGCTTACTAGAATAAATTTGTATAGTGAGTATGCAATGCTCTGAAATTCCATAATCAGGGCTCTGATATGGAAGAGAGATGGAATGAGATACTGGTCCCTATTTTTTTAAGTAATATCATTTATTCTTGGAAATTTTCATATATATGCATATATGTGAGTGTATGTGTGTGTGTGTGTGTATATATATATATATTATATGTATGTGTGTGCGTATGTATACATATGTATATATGTATGTATTTGTATGTGTGTATATGTATGTATTTATATGTATATGCATGTATATGCATGTATATGCATGTATATATGTAAGGAGCTTTTCCTATAAATTTGTATATACAGATAAATACACATACATACACACACACACATATATGTAAATATTTATAGATATATATATATATATTCTTGACTATAAGTACCTCACTCCCTCCTTCAACTTCTCCTCTATCCCAACACATCTCCTCCCAACTTCATGATTTCTGTCTCTCTCTTTCTTTTTTCATGACCCATTGAGTGCAATTAATTAGTGCTGTCATATAACCTGGGTGTGGGACTATCCACTGAAGCATGGACAGTCTACCAGAGGCCATATGCCCAAATAAAAGTGACTCTCCCTCCCTCAGAAGTTGTTAACTGCCAATAACTTCTCAGCGAAGGAGTTGGGTCAGGATTCTTCACACTACCTGTGCTAGATTTTTAACTGGCTTGATCTTGTTCAGGTCTTGTGTGTTAGGTAACCACGGTTGCTGGAATTTCATGCATGTAACAGTCATGGTGTGTCCAGAAGACAACATTTCATGGTTCCCAGCATTACTCCCCATGCTCCAACTCTTACATTCTTTTCATCTTCTCTTCTGTGCCTTGGGATGGATATGGGAGCTTGGGCTGAGCAGCCAGAGTCACAATCTCACCACTTTGCTCATCCTTATCTAAAACAAAACAAAAGAAAAAGAAAAAGAAAAAAAAACTTCTTTAGAGTATGGGATAAGACAGCTACATGATAAATTTTGTGACTAAAAAAATATCTGGTAATGGTGGGAGAGGGTCACTGGTCTCTAGGTAAGTTATACAGATGAAGGATTTGGGTATCCATCATTTTATCCACTAGTTCCTCCAGCACCTCCTACAAACAGATGCTGTGTTGGGCCCTTACAAACAAGTCAGACAGGCCTTTGTAGTTTGATTTCTAGTGAAAAGAGAAAAAGAATAAGTGTTTGTGGAAGCAAATGTAGGTTTAAAGGATATGGAGGGTATTAAGAAGGAAGCAAGAAGTGTTTTCTGATAAAGTAAAAAGGTCACCTGATTGCTCATGATCAACCAGAATGGCCTCTCCAAGGAAGTGGCATTAAAATTCCATGGTACTTCAGAAGCAAAGATGAAAACACATTTCCTAGAGTTAGTTGGAGAATGAGGTGGGCCTTACATCATGTATGGTTCTAAAAACAGAGAAAATGGTATTTGGTCATTTCTTAATATGTAAGTGATATGTGTCAGAACTTTAACAGCAGCCATAAGGCTAAGCAATGTTTGCAGCAGTTAGCAAACCGAAAGATTTTTTTTTAACTGTTCTAGAGTATCCCAGATCTGGAAACAGGCAGAGAATTCCCTGTGTGATTCAATATATCAAGTCCCAAGAGTGGTGGTTCTCAGTCTGTGGGTCATGACTCCTTTATAGGCCAGGGAACACTTCTACAGAGGTTGTCTAAGATTATAGGAAAGCACATATACTTTCTTTAAGGGCCATAACAGTAGCAAAACTAAAGTTATAAAGTAGCAATGAAATAATTTTATGGTTGAGGGGGGTCACCACAACATGAAGAATTGTATTAAAGGGTTGCCAGCTTTAAAATGCTTGAGAGCCACTGCCCTAGAGTGAAGGAATGAGGTCATTTAAGATAGGAACAGTGCCATGACATAGCGCAATTCAGCACAGAATGTTGGACCTAGGATCTAGTCAGAACTCATGTGATTCTGCCAAAGTAATATGACCTAGGGATTAATGCTGATTCCTCATGAAGTTAATCGTAATCTTCACCAGATGACCTAGCAATTCTACTACTAGGCATTTACCCAAGGGAAATGAAAACAGTTGTCAAAACAAAGATTTGTACATGAATGTTCAAAGAACTTTATTTGAGCAGCCAAAAGCTGGAACTAGCCCAGACAGATGTCTATCAACAAGAGAACATGTAAACAAAATGTGTTATATGAAGTGGAATGCCTCTCAGAAACTGAAAGAATTGAACCACTGATACATCCAAATTGTGGGGACTCTGAAAACTACCCCACCAAGCAAAGCAGTCAGCAGTCAGCAGGGCTTCCATAATAGCCCTTTCTACAGAATATTCTAGAAGCAGCCAGACTTTTAACAGCACAGCTCAGAAGTGGGATTGGCAATTGAATGCTTAGAGGAATTTCCAGGGGGAACAGACATTGCTCTATCTCAAGCTAGGATGGGGATCATTCAAGTGTGTGCTTTGGTTGAAATCCATCAAATTGTACAATAAAAGTAAATTTACTTGGACTGGCTCAGTGAGTAAAGAGCTGGGCATGCATGCAGGAGGACCTGCCTTTGGATCCTAAGCACTCACATATCAAAAGCTACTTGTCTCATCATGTGCCTTTAATCCCAGCACGGCCACTGGGGGTTCGGAGAGACAGGAGGACCTGAGGACTTCCTGGCCAGTTTATCTAGCCAAATCTTTAAACTCCAAATAAAATGAGAGACCTTGTCTACAAAGAGTGATGTAAAGTGCAATTGATGAAGATGCTGAACAGTAGTGACCTCTGCCCTCCAAATATAGGTGCACAGACATACACACCTATGCTCACACAAGTACACAAGTAACACACACACACAAACTAGCGCATTTTATTGTTTATAATTTACATTTCAGTAGTTGATTTTGAGATTCTTTAGAGAAAACATACTGTGTTAAACAGGAAGCAAAATTGTTTTAGAGGGAAAAAGTAAATAGTCTCTTAAAATTTGAATCCAAATTTAGCACCAGAAAGCAGATGTTCTCAGTAGCAGGTGCATTTTTAAAGCCAGCTGCTCCCCACATGTTTCGGAGAGCGGTACTCCAGGAAGAAGCAATGGTAGGGGCTGATTTCCCAATACGAAAATAAGACAGCTCCATGGAGCCAACAAGGTAACAGGAAACAGAGGAGAGCGTGCATGGAGAGGCCAGGCTTGCTTGATTATGAGATAACCTAGCGTGGTGTTTCTCAGGTGATCTGTGAAGGACATGGTGCTTCTCTGTTGTTGTATCTGTGTATAATTTGTTATCACATCACACCAGCTAAGGACTGCAGAACAGCACATTGCTATGGAAGTTCACCTTTTCCTTAATGTGGTCTTGTTGAAGACCACTGACAAGAATGCACAGATTGATGCCAGTAAGTACAGCATATTTTCAGTGGCATTGCCCTAGGGGACCCCAAATACACCTTTGGGGGTACACTTAGAAGAGAGTAAAGTCCTGCATGAGTAGACAGAGGCAGGAAAGAAAGACAACTAAGTCATGACTATGGCTGGGGTCCTATCTGTACATGACAGAAAGCAGAACCTGAAGGATTATTCTTCGAAAGACTTCAATGGCTGGCTGCATAAAGCAAGAAAACACTTGCAGGAAGATTCCTTGGAAGCACGTAGCCCTTCCTTCGGAAGACTGAGCCTTGAAGACGGATGGGAATGGTGTTGCAATAACCAGATAAATGAAAATGGGATTCAAAAGCTGTGGACCTGGAAAAGAGCATGGAATGCAGGGGGGCTGGGAGCAGGAGGTAGGTTGGAGGTAGAGTTGAGGCCAGAGCTGAGCCTTTGACAGCAAAGAGGCCTGCTGAAGAGTCAGGAGGAAAGGAAATGGAGGGGCGTGGGTCTGTGGCCTGCTAAGCCCTGGGAAATAGGAAATAGGCTCTTGAGTGTGCCAGTACTCTAGCTCTGCCTGCCTTGGCCTCCTGCCCAGCAATCTCTGACCCAATGCCACCCACTCTGTCAGTCACGGTGGGTGACACAGAGAGACAAAGAAAGGAGTTACCTTTGTATGCCATTTCCCTTGCCTGGCAGGCTGGCTTCCTCCCACCCATGTTCTACCTGTGACTCGTCCACATTCCCAGGGCCACCCGGGAGTCACCCCAGGCAGAAGGGAGCAGCTTTCCTTTGATTGCATGTATTGGAGCATAAGTCACATTGCGAGCAGGTGTCCATCAGCCAGCCTGCCCCCACCATGTGGCCAGATTGCTAGAGGAGTCAAAAGCCAGTTTCTGATGCAAGTCTTCGTGCTCAGGAAGCAACATGAACAAATGAACAGAGCATACGGTGAAGGGGGGATCCAAGGACAGGTGGCGAATTGCTGGGATGGCCAAACAGGTATGTGGAGATAGACAGGAATCAGAGGTCACATGGATTTGCTTTCCTCTGTCCTGTCACCCTTGTACACTGACCATGATTTGCAACTTTAACCTTTGTCGGTCCTAAGCATGTCAAAGGTCCCTCTGAGAAAGAAAATAAATCTGGTCATTCTCTGGATTTAGACAGCCTGGCCAAGAACAGCCTCACACTTAATAGCCACAAGAAATTGGACCAAAACTGGAACTGAACAATTAACTAAGGAATCATCAACACTGTCGGAAATAACAGAACAACTCAAGTCCAGTGGATATGAAGAGGTTTCTGACATACAATTCTGCAGAAACAGACATTAGCACAGAGAAAAGGTAAAATAAATACATACACACACACATACACACATAAAACCTCTGACACACCAATTGGGCACACATCAAGGGTTTTCAAAATCCCCTGATCACTAGAAACTCCTGTCCTGTCTTTCCATAGGCTAGAATTCGTCACTTTCCCGAATTCTATATCCTATTGGTTTAAGACACATAATATTATGCAGTGAATATTTTGAAGCTTGAGGATGCCCACTTCCTGACTGTAGACTCAGTCACATGACAGACTACCTGTAACTTCCAGATCTCAGAGCTCTCTGAGGTAAGCCAGCACCAGCCACCCTCCGTGGGGACAGAGGGGTTTCATATCTCTTGTTTATCTGTAACTCTAATAAACTTAATACTGAACCTCATACTGAAATTGGACCATAACAATTTGTTTCTTACAGTCTCTTCCTCTTATTCTTTTACTCTTATTGGCGCCAGTTTCACTTTTGTTTTAATTAGTTAGCTTTCTACATTATATTGGCAAAGGTGTCCCCTAACCCTTGAAAGGCCACTGCAATTGTTGATGCAGGAGCTGTATTCTTGGGAGTAAAAGCGCAACACCTTTCATCAAGCATGACACAAACATTTTCTTTCTATTACCTTCACAGTCAGTAGAATCTTGTTCTCCCAAATCTTCCAGATGATAGATCTAGCTAGCTAGGCATTCCTTTAAAGCAGTGGTTCTCAACCTTCCTAACGCTGCCACCCTTTAATACAGTTCCTCATGTTGTGGTGACCTCAAACCATAAGATTATTTTGTTGCTACTTCATAACTGCAATTTTGCTACTGATTTGAGCCATATTGTAAATATCTGATATGTAACCCCTAAAGGGTCATTTGAACCTGAAAGGAGTCATGACCCACAGGTGGAGAACCACTACTTCAAGACCATCCCAGACACAACTGAAGAGATTCTGTGAGTTAGTGTTACAGGATATCTGATCATACCGTGAACTCTTTTTCTACTTGTGCTGTGGCTCAGCCCTTAGCACACACCTTTAATCCCTCTGGCTGGAATATGGACACACCCTTAGCACACACCTTTAATCCCTCTGGCTGGAATATGAACACATCTGTAGTATACACTTTTAATCCCAAACAATGAAGGTAAAGTTAGTTTGTAGAAGGAAGCAGCCATGTTTGAAAATTATGTCTAATTAAGTAGTAGACAAAGTGACAAAACAGAGGAAGATTTGACAGAAT